ATGGTATTTTCCATTTAAAATACTTCATGCACTTTATGCTTTATCTGATGGCTTCCGTCTTTTTTGATTGAAATGTGTATTTCAGCAGTTAAAATGTGAAAGATAGTGGTGAGGAAAGACAGAGGTAAGTGAAGCATCACTTTGGTTTATTTGCATTTACTTTCAGGAAAAAAAGCTTCTTAGGCATTCTGAGGGATAATTTTCTATTTAGAAGAATTGTTAAATACTCAGCCTTAATTATTTATAGATAGTCTCTAAATTCTCAATGGATGATTTAAAGGGACCACGCCATCGACTTTACCAAAGTAATGAATACAAAATAGCTTAAAGCTACTGTTACTATTAGCAGTGCCAACCACCAACTGATTTTAATTAGATTTAACTTTTGCTCTTGATATAACACAACTTGGCTGTGCTGCTTCAGATTAACAAAGGACCATTAATCATTTTATGTAACACAAAGAATGGTGTGGGCCTGCACTGAAAGTATCCAATAGAGAGGTTAAGCTTGTGTGTGCTGAAATAATTGAATCCTAGCCAGTGGTGGAGGAAAGTGATATCTCAGGGAGGCCCCTGAACCTCCCTAGAGCAGCATTTCTCAGCCACACCACTATTGACATTTGGGGCCGGATAATTCTTTATTGTGAGGGACTGTTCTGTTTATTGTAGGATGTTTAGCAGCATCTCTGACCTTTACCCACTAGATGCCAGTAGCACACATCACCACCACCATCACCACCCTCCATCAATGTGACAATCAAAAATGTCTCCGGCATTGACAAATGTCCCCAGAGAGGAGAAGGGCACGATTGTCCCCAGCTGAGAACCACTTACTCAGAAAAATGTATGGCCCTCACCTTTTCCTCACTGTGTGTGCAATTAGGTTCCATTTATCCTGTGGTCACCCCACAGTGCTGAGGCCCTTGGACTGGTCCCCACCCCCTCAGAATTCCACTTCTTCCTACTCAGTCTCTCCATAGGACCATGATGTTTGCCCACTGCTTTTTAAAGATTCATTATAAATAGGTGAGATGGCTCCACTTTTTCAATGAAGTAGGAGTTTACATGCGGTATGTTTTCCTTATTTATTTGTTTATTGCAGCCTTCCGCTCTAAAATGTGAGCACCACCATGACAGCGGGGATTTTTGCTGCTTTAGTCCACTGCTGTAACCCTGCTGCCTAGAACAGTGCCTGGCCCAGAGTAGGTGATAAATACTTATTGAATGGCCAGAGAAATGAAATGGTGATCATCAAACTAGATTCCTGACTTTTTGCTTGTCTTGCATAGTCTTTCTCAGTGTTTGAATAACATTATTTCCTATTTAGGGATTGGAAGGTCAAGGTTATTTTCTTCTTCCTTCTTCCTCCTGTCTTGTTCCCCAAACTGCCCTTGTCTCCACGTAGTTTAATGATGTGGAAAAGAATATTGCTGGAATCCCTGTTAGTGAAAAGCTGTTCCATTTCATCTCTTCTACTTTACTTCTGCTTTCACCACCTTCACTCTGATAAAGTTGATCTAATTGCAGCGCTTACCTTTGAACTGCTCCTTACATGACCTCTTGTTAGGGCTATTTAGTACTAATGGGCCTTCCTCTGTCATGTACCTTTTTTCCTCCAAACTCCAATCCTTATGTGACGAGTACAGCTGTATGATGAAGCCTTCATTAAAAGATTCCTTAATAGAACTGACTGCCTTTCCTTGATTGCATAATCAACAGCTAATGAAATTGTCTTGGTAACAAGAGCTATTACATCCTCTCTGGAGACTAAGTGGAAAGACAATTGTATCACCCCGAGAAGAGGATTGATTGTTCACAGTTTGTATTTGATTGTCGTAAGGAGAACTAAACAAGAGATCAT